TTTATATCGACCTTAGTAGGATGGAAGGCTGGATATAAGTAATTTAAGTTAACTGTGCCATTATAAGAAAAAATACATATGGTTTTGAAGGCTTTAATCATAAACACACTTGGTAAAGAACTTACTTCCTTCCTTCCTTCCTTCCTTCCTTCCTTCCTTCCTTCCTTCCTTCCTTCCTTCCTTCCTTCCTTCAACTGAAACAGACATCAGCAGTTTACAACACAGCTGTTTAATAATAAGAAAGCCAAGGCACTTAATCTAAGTCAGGGGTGTCAAACTCAATTTCTACTGAGGGCCGAATCAGCATTGCGGTTGCCCTTGGGGGGCCGGGTGGGTGTGGCCAGAGTGGGTGCGGCCTACTGGGTGGGCATGGATGGAGTGGGTGTGGCCTACTGGGTGGCGTGGCCAGTTCTACATCATTCGTGTCAAGGGTGCCTGTGGGGGCCTGGGCAGAAGTGGGACAGATCTGAGGGTCTCTGGCAGAAGGGGGTGGGACCGGGGCAAGTGCCAAGGCATGGTCCACCGGGGCAAGTGCCAAGATAGCCACCACAAAATTGTACATTGGCTCCTGGCTGGCCTGGGCCAGGGCCAAGACAGCGGGGGCCGTTCCCTCACTGTTTCCAGGATGGCTTCACGGGCCACATGAAACCACTTTGAGGGCCGCATCCGGCCCCTGGGCCTTGTGTTTGACATGTCTGATCTAAGTCAATTAAATCCACTAGCACCAATTAAGTGGCATCATGCCCCAAATACTCTTGGGAAGACTTCTATCTTCAACTTCTTCTGGAAAGTGAACCCCTGTTAGAGCTAAGCCAATCTCCAATGGGAGGCCAATCCAGATGATCAGTCCAACAATGGAAAAACAATATCTTTGGTCTTTGGCTCTTCTAAGCTCCCCCAAATGGGGGAAAAATCTGCTAAAATACTTCTTCCAGTATGACTGAATCTGCAAACAGATAGGCCTGTAAGTAACTTGGGACCAAGTCAAGTGAGAGCTAGCAAAAAGTGAGATCGCAATAAGGAAATAACTATTGCAAAGATCTGGCAGATTTAATTAATATTAAGGACTGTTCCAAAATATTGTTATTTTGGAACACCCCTCACCCTACTAAGCTGCATATTTGGACTCCCTTTAAACAACATCTGAACTGAGGCATGGCACATCATGTATCTGAATTTCTACTTGTCCATTTAGGACAAAATCTGTCTGTATCTTTGCACATGGTTAGTTGGAAATTACAGTGGCAAAGTTCAGCATAAAGCAAGGCTGCTCTCAGACAAAGCACGTTCATTATAAGACGTTCCCTTGTGTACTGGGTTGGTAAAATTGTTATTATTTGTTAAGCACTGACAATGTGCTCCACGCTGTATGAGAAAGTAATACAGAAGCAGACAGTTCTCTAGAGAGTGAGCCATCACAAAGAACGGAATGAAAAAAGATATTCTGTCTGACCCAGAGAACATAGGTGCTCAGATCTTTTGAAATTGTTCTGTCCTCTACATTGAAAGTAAATAATCTTTTACTTCTAAGCTCAGCCTACCCTATTACCTGTCACAATGTGCCCCAGCAACTTTGAAAGCATCACCCTTAAAATCTTCATCTTTGCACATCACTTTAGTGAAGAGTGCATTATGTCTAATAAAGAAGAAAACCGCAATAAAAAGACCCTGTAAGACTATTATGGTGTAGAGAGCTCTGAATAGAATTAGTTTCATACTATAAAGTTCAAATTCAGTGTTACAAAATCAAATTGGGGAACTTAAATCTTTACGATCATCATCTTGTACAATGTACTGATTATTCTTACTGTAGAACATACTAGGTGCTACTACACTGGTATTGTTCATGCATACTTCAGCTCTAATATGCTGTTTACAGATGGATATGAAATTTATCCAGTCTAAATTTCTACATACGCTTATCAAATTTATACTTCTGAAATAAACTTATGTAGAAGATACATCCCTGTCAAAATACAGTGTGCAATAAACTATTCATAAAATACATTAATGAAGTATAACATGCACAGGCATGAATGTTCTTTCCTGCAAGAATGGATTACATTGATAGAAAATTACTTGGGAAATATTTGCACAGTAGAAAAAGTGCAAATGGTAGATGTTAAGAGAAATGTGGAGAAAAATGCAGGGTGTGTGTGGGGGGGGGGGGGTAGGAGAACCCATTTGAAACAGATGTTGAAAGAGCCCAGAATAAGCTTGTGATCAGGAAAATGACAAGTTAAAGGAAAATAAAGCTGACATATTTATCCAACCATAGAATACCTACATATAGCAGCTGGAAAAATGTTGCATGGTTACTTTGGATTTTTGTGTTTTGCAGTTTCATGTTATAGGTTTAGAATTTGGTCTAAAACCGGGTCCTAAATAGCCCAGGTTGATGTCAAACAATAAACACACTGAAGAAATTACTTTAAATAGAAGAGTCTTAAAAATTAATAGCTGCATAACCATGAAAAAGTATGTCACTAGATGTGAAGTGCACATTAAAATTATTTCAAAGAGTCTAACGCAGGTAATATTAATTATATTAATTTCATAGCTAGCAAACATTTCAATAAAATCATTGCTTTCTACCAAATAACAATGTATAAACTACAAATGAATTAACAAGAATGAGTTTCCTAATTTAAAATAAAAGGTCAGATTATATCCTCTCTTGGTTTTGGCAGAAGAAAGGCCAGATATGAACAAAATTACACAGACTACACAGTTCAATGCACGGTAAAGGATAAATCATAGTAACTCCCACAAATAAACTGACGATTATTTGGGAATTATTTCACTCGTGTTTTTAAGGTTCCAGAATAACATATGTTACAAAGGGGAAAGTATTCTAACATTAACTAGTTGGCATTAATTTTTAGTTTCATCTTGGCTGGATCAATAATAAGATTAAACACTTGGTCTCTTATGGGCATTAGTATCATTCATAACTATAGTTGTTTAAAAGAACAAGAAATGACAAAAGATTTTTCCCTGTGGGCCAAAGCAATTTATCTAGCCAAAAGGAATAATTTTTAAGCACAGAATCATCTCAGAATTCCAGCAACTAAAACAAAAATTGCCAAGCACAGCAAATAATCTGAACCCCCAAATGGCTAAAATATCCCTCAGAAGTAGCAACCACAGTTCCAATAACCATCAAAGAAGAATACAATCTGTAATCAGAAATGATTTTCTGATTTTCTCCTTCCCAACATTGGCATCAACAGGAAAAGGCAGTGTCAGCAAATAATAAAACACGAGTAATGATAGCATCATACAAATTCTATGATGTATACATTTGTGTCCAATACTGAAATGCAAGTATGTACAGCCATCATTTCCATGACCATGCAACATGCAAAAGTGTCATCATTTTAGCATTTTGAGGTTTGCTGTGAACACTAATGTTTCCCAAAATACAATGGGCAGAGACAGAAAAGCTCATTTTGCCAATGACACTCAAGGGTCACCAAAGGAATACACAACCAAATGCTGGAGAAAAAAAGTTATATTCCATTATGTTGCATATCTATCTGCTTTGTTGATAAAGGACTATATATGATTCCACCATTCTATTTAAAATAAAGCCCATGAACTAGTGAACATTTCCCTGAATAGGGGAATAGGGGCATCCCCACCACGCTTCCCATGTTTTGGAACAAGTCTAATTGTTTAGAATAGATTAGGGAATACAGGAGTTATAGAAGGGAAGAAGAAATCAGGGGATATTGCTTTCTTCTTTGATCAACATAGTCTTTGCTGGATCAAGGGATATTCTGTGAATGGAAGAACAGTAGTACAGAATATACAAGCATAGACTTTGGCTCTCATCATTGCAGTTACGCCTAATTGCTTAGAATTGCTTAGAATTTAATCTTTCTCAGGGGCTTTTACAGCGAGCAGGTCTAAACTTTACAAACTTCAGCATAACTCAGAGCAGGCAACCCACAGCCTCAGACCAGGTAAGATCTTTCAAAAAATATTCCTCAAATAGTCCTCAAAAATGCAGATTGACCTTTTCTACAAAGAGAAAATATATCCCTTTCCTTTGTGTAGAGAGGGTATCAAAAAGAGAAAAAGAACAACAGAACAACAAGAACAATAAGGAAAAAACAAGGAAAAAAGAACAATTTTAGAATGCAGAGAATCTGTGGTCCCATTCTTTTTTTATACTGACTCTCCCTATTTGCTTATTCTACACAGACAGAGCTACCTTTGGCATATAGTCCACGAATTGTTTCCATAATCTTGGTTTAACTAAATTATAGATTAGCTGAGAAATTTAGGAACTTCATTGTATGTCTGATTCACAGGTCCATGCTGAGAAAACAGAAACACATGCACTCATACACATATATGTATGCACCTATGAATATATTTCAACAGTCTAGCATATCAAATATTTTCTTCTTCCTGTTTGTTCTGTTCATGGTTCTGTTTCATTCTGTATTACTCTTTTGTCCCAAACCTTTCTTCAAAAGGTTGTAATAATCTTCCCTTATTATTATAACAGCTTGGAGAAGGACTTTGCACAACATGAACAGTCAATGAATTTTCTTGGCAGTTTGAACCTGGGGTGCCCTTCAATTTACAGTCCTTTGTTGGTTCAAAGGAAAGAATCTGAAATCCCACCCTTCTAAATGGTTGGCCTATGAAATCTACAAAAACTACTAATGACTACAAGTTTTTGTTCTTGTTACAGCTTTAGTGAAAACACAAAGCCTGAAAATTCCAAGGGGAATCAATAGACTTTCTTAGCTCTCAAATGTTTGTGCATCAGAATGTATAATTAAAGGGTATGTCATGCAACAGATTTCTCAGCCGTATAAAATGAGGAAAGAAGCTGCCTGTTCTAACCTGCTTTGCAAATATTAAATTCTAATCTAGGTAGGTATGGAAAAAAGCATTCTTCTTTTAACTCTGCAACTATTGTCTGGAAGCTGGCTACCGCAGCAGCTGAATTTCTGTATTTAAGCTGCTATTATAGATCTTACCTGACGGATATCTAGACGGTAACTAAGAATGGGATCAACAGCATCTGGTTCCTTCTGTGTCCACTGTAAGACATAGGAGTAGTTCTTGGATTGCTTCCTTGTAGGATTCGGAGTATCATAGTAAAATTCTGGGCTATAAGCTTTAGCTAAAAAGCAGAAAAGAGAATGAGAGGAACAGAGAGGAAAGTTGTTATAACTCAGTGAGCACCATAAGAATCCATGCATGCAACTCATCAAGAACTTTGAGTAGGAAGGTCATGGACACCTAATCTACCAAATAGGTATTTATTTTCTCTTTAGATATTTATAAAACATATTGTTAACTTCATATCCACTATCTACTACTTCTGGGAATATGACTAGTAAAATTCATTTATCATAATAAAGCTTAATAAAAACTCTGCATTCCGATCTACAACTAAACCAGCTTTGCTTTTGCTTCTACTTGTTAGCAAGCCTTGAGATGAGGGAAAAAACCACAATGTAATATCTGTCCACTATCAGTTACTCCTCTCTATTATGGCATAGTAGTAACTGTAACATTGCTCTTTGTGACACAACAAATTTATTCCCTAGCAATTAAGATAACCAGTATAAGAGAATTGGATTTCATTTGGGAAAAAATAGCCGGAATGGAAAAGGAAATAGAGACAAATGCAAAATTCTTTGCTTAGGATGCAATTTAAAGCTACATTAACAGAAGAACAATTTCTAGGTCAAGGGAAATATAGCAAAAGTTCCACTATAATCTTCATTGGTCAGTCCCCATACCAATTACCATTTGTGGTTTTGGCATTTTACTTTAATTTAGAGGTCCTAAAACAGTTTCATAGAAAAACAACAAGTATGATCAAGGAAATGGAAACTATATTTTACAGGGAGAAACTGAGAGTATATTTAATCTTGGGAAAAGCTGATTTAATGCAGATACATTTTTACTTTTCAAATATCTGAAGAAAAAGACCAATTTCCCCCCCCCCATTTTCTTAAATTATGCAACACACAGAACTCTCTTAGAAGAAGTCCAGTTGCATTTATGAATCTGTTCTTAATAGTAAGGACCTGTTCAACAAAAGAACCAATTATTAAAGAAAACAGTGGCTCCTCCCCCTTCTTGGATGTGTTGCTGGGCTGCTTTTTTGTTAAAAAAAAAAAGAAGACCCTTAACCTGAATGTTCTGAAATAATCATGTTATCAAAGTTTGACAGCAAAATAATAATAATAACAAATAACAGCATAACAAAGTAGCAACAATGGTACATTGGAATATCTGCAAGAAATATCATTTACCTACAGTCAAGAATTAGTGGGACCACAAAATAGAAAATAAAGAAGCTAAAGTGCTCTGACAAGCACCTGTCACATAATAACCTGGACTTAAAATTGTTGATAAGAAAGGCAACAAATCTGGATAGTGGACATGGTATTATTATTATTATTATTATTGTTATTGTTATTATTTACTTAGTACCTGGAGACAGCAGTATACAAGAAAAAGAATGGGAGAAAATCACATACAACATCTGTAAACAGAAGTAGAATGACTGTGGCAAAAGAAAGCAAAAATACTACCAAAAGTAATAGGTGCCTTGAGTTCTATCCCAAAACAATGACATATGCCTATTCCAGGTCCTTGGGAAAGAGTCACTAGCAGGAGGAAAATACCAAATCCATTTAAACATCTGGCTTACTATGCAACCAACTATAATAATATTAATACACAAATGCAATGATTCTGGGCAGCTAATAAAGATTAAAAAATATACTATAAATAACAGTATAAAAATAGATTGCATAGTCATCTAATCACCAAATGACTAGTCTCATCTAATGGTTTAAGACACTGCCTAGAAACCAGGAGACTGTGAGTTCTTGTCCTGCCTTAGGCATGAGCGGCTGACTTTGGGCCAGTCTCTGTCTCTCAGCCCAACTCACCTCACAGGGTTGTTGTTGTGGGGAAAATAGAACAAAGGGATATTATGTATGTTTGCCACCTTGAATTATTTGTAAATAAAGGTGGAATAAAAAAAGTCTTTTTTTATATAAAAGTGCAACTAGTACATAGTATGAAGCTGTGAGCCATAAGTCCAGGAGGGCCTTCAAATTGCACACTGTGTTTGTGTGGGACAGTGGGACATCATACACAACTAAAGATGAAAAACTACCAGATCTAGTAGGCTTTAAATCCAAAATCACTCTATCTTACTAGATTTGAGCTGAGTCCTTTGCTTTTCCATCCAGAACCCCACAGCCTATAAGCATTTTGTCTACTATAGACAAAATTTCCACAGTATTACCAGGCTGACTGGGACAGAGATATACAGCTATCTTCAGTGTATTGATAATACATCATGCTCTGCTGCTCAATTGCTTCAACTAGTAGCTTATGTTGATATTATGTTGAGACCTCACAAAAGAGAAGCCTGGGGACAGATCTCTCCCCTTCATAAACACTGACTGGAATTGGCCTAGGAAGAAGGAGGAGAATCAAATATGGATTGAACTCCTAAGCCCTGGAGTGAGTGCAGAAGGATATCATGTTCAGTGGTATTGAACGCCACTAAATAAATGCAGAAAAGTAATGGTGTTTTGACATCTTTATCACCTCAAGATAGGCCTTAATAGCAGCTTTACATTTGTTCAGTCAAGTGTTCTCCAAGTTTCCTTCCAGGAGTGCTTTAGATGTCTCCTCTCCCACTTCATCTCTCCAAGCTCTCCTCTAAATTGATTTCATGCAGTTTTGGAAGGATTGGGGTAGTTAAGGTGGAAATGAAAATGGCTTACTTTCATTGCCACACTTTTTTGAGAGGGGAGTAATCATAACAAAAATACAGCATCCCAAATGCAGCTGTCAAGTTTCAAAACCCCATCTTGCTGGCGTGACAGACATTGCTTCTTAACTTGCCAACAAGCTGGGGGGGAGGGGGAGTGGAGAGGTTTGGAATGCAGACTTCAAAGATTAAGGAAGCAGACCATGGGAATCAAGGACAATGGCCAGGTGTCCAACTGGACCTAGAGATGCTTTCCCATAAAAATAATTTCTAACTTGATTGGGCAATGTGACCTGACCCAGAGGGAGGAGGAAGAAGTTAGTGCTTTTATTATGGAGTTTGGAAAAGGGGCCTGCCAGAGCTGGTTTTACTTTCATATGTGCTGATATGGTGTATTCAATAACGTTTTGCATTAAGAGCCTGAAGAGACTTGAAGGTGTTTGCTTGGTTGGGTTTGCTAGTCCGAACCTTGACAGCAGCATTATTTTGCTGCAGAACGTTGGTAGTGCCATCTTGGATGCTGGGAGGCCACAGTGTGGTGCTGGGAGCCTTTTGTACCCTGAAGATTAACTACAAACATTTAAAGTCCTTCCATTCACTCACTCCTTGTTACTGATTCACAAGGAAGACACTGTGGTCCCAAATCCCACAGTTTATCTCCAAAGCAAAATATTTTCACAGAAAACCCTATCTACATGCTAGCGTTTGGCCAATTTAAAATCACAAAAACCATACAATGGGAAAATATTCAAAGACAGGCAATACATTTTACAGGTATTCCTTATTCCCAAGGTTTTCTTCTTTTCCATTCTTTTTCTACCCACCCCAATTACTAGCTCAGCCATTCTTTTCTGCTCTAATTAAATGGAAATGATTCCATGTTTATTTTTATTAACTTAGAATGGTAATATTGATGTTCACTCCTGAACCCCCTTTTCTTATTATTTTTATTGACTTACATTTTTGTGCATGGAGACATTCAGAGCCACCTTGGAGACTAATTGTTGCTTATTCAACTTGTATTGACTGTTAAGTCAAGTTTCATGACAAATTTATAAAATAAAATCAGAACAGACGATAATGATTATCTTATGCCCATTTTTATAATTAATTGATTCCCAAGATAAAAGACTCCATCTCCGGTAATATAATAATAAAGTTCATTGGACTCTTTATAATTTTCCTCTTGTTCATATATATCAGCCATGGAGCATTTTGCAGCTATTTGAATACACAGAAGAATTAAATAAATGCTGGACCTCACCTCTAACTCTACATGCATGAACTCTGCTATAGAAAGAGTGGAAAATATTCATATAGATTTTGAAAGAATGAAAGTTGTACACAAGCACCTATACCAACCGTTGGGAGATAAAGAAACTGGCATATTTCTATATTAAATTCACATAGACTTCTATTTAAATGTGCAGAGATGGCATTTTTTTGGGTACAAGCCTGATAACTGAAATGTGGAGGAGGTTTACTTGTGGTATACATTTGATGTTGTGATAAGGTGTAAAAGTTACCTAGCACTTTTATAGTGATTGGAAAATGCTGACTAAAGTAATTCATATTGATTGCAAAGAATGGACTTTGTTAAAGGATTGTATGGCTGCAAAATGCCAAAGTCTATTAATACAAAGACACCCCCCCCCAAAAAAAAAATCAGGAAAGTCCAAAGGGTATGTTTCACCTCTAGCCACTCATTTTCTGAGACAGTTTTGCAGGAAAACAGAATAAAAGGGTCAAAGAATATTTTAGATCCCTGAAGCCCAGATGTCATGGAAACAACAGTGATACACAGGAGTTAAACTTTCCATTTTTAAATCACCAGATCATATTTAATTACATGCTGCATTGTGGCATAAAGTCTATTTTTTTATTCATCAACTCTATCAATTAAAAAACAGAAACTGCCCTCAGGCTTCCAAATTTAAAAGACAAGATAGCAAAATGTAATATAGGAACTAATCTTGGAGTGAACAACGAGCTACGTGCCTCTTTGTTTTCATCTTGCCATATATTCCTAGGAGGCAGGTGAAGGAAAGTGTGAGTATTGGCATCTTATAGGAACCAATTTTTGTGCCTCATTTTATCAAGAAGGTATTGAATCTAGACTTGCCCTTTCCTAAATGGAATGTCTCCTTCTTTGCAGAAAAGCTGGTGATCCAGTGGAGATTCCTACTGGGAAGATAAGTCCACTTTCTGTCCCAGCACTAACTTTCTGCTGCTCTGGGACTGCTCGGTAAATGGAGAGATGGTAAAAACTGGGTCTCCTTGTTTTATTAGAGAGTCTCATCATGGGCAAATTTTCCATTTCATTCATCTACCAGTTATTAGCCAAGTTAATCATACTAGTATCCACTAAATGAGAAAAAAGCACAGGTAAGACTTACCTGATACCTGGAATTTGCAAACCGCTACCCCAACATCATTGGAGATACTACATTCATAGTTGCCACTAGTCTCCCGGCTTACACTGTCCACTTTATATTCTGAATAGTCTTGCTGCTCTGTTGGAGGCACTGTTAGAAGGCTACCATTAAATCTCCAGACAGCTGTGGCCACTTTCATAGGGCTTCCCTTTAACATGGTACATCGAAGGATTACACTACGTCCCATGGTTTGCCGAATATCCTGGAAGATGGGTTCCACGACAGGGGAGACTAGAGGCCAAAGAAAGAAGTAGATCTTATTCAGTGAGTTTATGGCAGATTATACTGTGGGCAAAATAGAAAGTGTATTAATGCAAAATTTCTTGGCAAGGATGAACTTTTCTTTAACTTATCTTTCATTTCATGTTATTAGCTGCCATCTGGATACAAAATGAAAGCTTGAATGTAAATGTATACGATACAAAATGAAAGCTTGAGTGTAAATCAATAAGAAATGAAAGCTTGAGTGTAAATGTATAAATTCATGGACATTATCCTATTTATAAATCATATGCATAAGTAAATAAATTGCTGTGTGAAGTACCTTATTTAATATACCTGATAGATAAATAAATTGCTATGTGAAGAACCTTATTTCAATCAATAACATTGCCCCAGACATTAAAAAGGATGGATGGAAAGAACACAATAATAAACACAAATATCTGAAAGATACAGATAGTTACTAGTGTTTCCCACAGGTCTGAACTCTGTATCTCCTACACCAGAGGAGTAATTCCTTAATTTTATTTAACAGTTCACCAACGGATGAAAATAGATGCTTAAATTATTAAGCATATATTCTTGGAGGTATGGAATTTTTTTTCTGCCATATAGCACTGAACTGAGCATACCTAGTTTTCAAGTTTATAAAGGTTTCCAGCTGTAGGGCTTTAACATAGAAGAATGGATTAAAGCCAGCCTATGATTAAGCTTGCTTTGCCCTGTGATTTGAGATGGCCAGCTCCTTAGAGACTGCACCCCACAAACAGGTAGCTTTGTTGAAGGTTCCCTTTCCACAACAATAATTAATCAAAAGTAGTGAAAAAGTGAAAATCAATTTCATCCTCAAAACCTGCTTTGGAATGTTTGAAAAAGTGAGGTGGCTTCTAAGGGATTTGACCTTCAGATTCTCCATCTTTGTATATGACTCACATCAAAAACTGAACTAGTAAAACAAAAGGCTGGCTTAACAAATTAACATCTTAAAATAATTGTTCAAAGTTTGAGATCCAGCAGGAGGTGAACTTTCCAAGGCAAGGATGAATTAAAAGAGCTTTTCCAGTTCTGGCCTGCTCCAGATAGATCAAAACTGCAACCCCCAGAAATATCCTTAAGCAGTCTTGCCCTATGTGAGAATGTCATATCTGGGGAGACTAATTTAAAACATGATGCCAGGGAGCCCCTAGGACAGTGATGGCGAACCTTTTAGAGACTGAGTGCCCAAACTGCAACCCAAAACCCACTTATGCATCATCGAGTGCCTGGTGGGTGTGGCCCATTGGCTGGGTATGGCCAATTGGGTGGGTGTGGCCCATTGGCTGGGTATGGCTGCGGTGGTAATGGCAGACTGGGTGGGACTAAAAAGTTCAATCAATCAATTTCAACTTTGCAAGATCTTTTTTTTTCCTGCGAGAAGTTGAAATTGACTGATTGAAACTTTTTTTTTTTGCACACGGCGGCAGAGGCCTAAAGCGAAAAGGTTTTATAAAACCCAGATAAAGGCCTAGGACTGGGGCGATGGTGCGCGTGCCCACAGAGAGGGCTCTGAGTGCCGCCTCTGGCACCCGTGCCATAGGTTTGCCACCACTGCCCTAGGACATTACACAATACTAAATCCAGTACACCAGGCCAGCCCCTATACCAGTGGTGGCGAACCTATGGCACGGGTGCCAGAGGCGGCACTCAGAACCCTTTCTGTGGGCACGCGCCATCGCCCCAGTCCTAGGCCTTCATCTGGGTTTTATAAAACCTTTTCGCTTTAGGCCTCCGCCGCTGTGTGCAAAAAAAAAAAAAGGTTCAATCAGTCAATTTCAACTTCTCGCGGGAAAAAAAAGATCTTGCAAAGTTGGAATTGATTGATTGAACTTTTTAGTCCCACCCAGTCTGCCGTTACCACTGCAGCCACGCCCACCCAATGGGCCATGCCCACCCAATGGGCCACACCCACCCAGCATTCGATGATGCATAAATGGGTTTTGGGTTGCAGTTTGGGCACTCGGTCTCTAAAAGGTTCACCATCACTGCCCTATACCAATTCCCTCCATCCCAAAGGACTGATATATTGTGTTTTCAGAAGCTTCGTAGGCAACAATCGGCCTATGAGATGTATTCATAGCATGGCAATTTTCATTATTTCCAGGTCATATCAGCAGTAGATCAAGGGCTTTGAAAGGCACATGAGCCTTAAAGAAAAAGAAATACAAACTTAATGTGACAAATTAAGGAGGGTATCTGTTCAGAACACAGCTCTTGATTTGGGCTAGACTTTATTCAATGCTCCACATCAAATTAGTCCTTCAGAAGAGGGGCAACAGAACTTTCCTTGGAATTTCATACTGTGCAGCTTTATAGTAAGATGCATTGTATTTAAGGTCTACAGTATAGTGGATAAGTTCACAGGGGAATTTGCTCTGCCTCTCTTAAATATTAACCCTTTTTAAAAATATCAGATAAGCTTCCCACTTTTTTTTGGGTAGACTCCTTAATTTATATGCCAATTACATAGCAGTTCTACTTAATTATAGTCACTTCTGCTAATTTGCATTTATATTTTGAATAAGAATTTGCCTATTTTAAGACAATGTTTGCTCCCTTTTCCTGCTGCAGCACAAGTGAGCCTCTTGAAAACTCAGTAGGAAATAACCAGATGCAAAGACCTCACAACTGATATTTGTGAAAATAAGACATACACCCATCAAATTCTATTCAAACCCTTGGTTATCTGTGTTTTGCAGCACTCAAAAATGTGTAAAATATTCATATCATGCTGCTTGAACTGTGTGTACCTTAAATATATTGCTCTGCATGTTAGTGTTTAATTATGCAGATGTCAGATGCTTCCTTTCTAAACTTTAAGAATTAAGCCACAAATCTAATACGGTATATGTGATATGAGAAACAGTAAAAAAAATGGGGACAGGGAAAGAGATGTTAGAGCAACAGCCACTACCACAAGCAATGCTTTCTCGGACTAGTTCATATTCTGCAGTTCCAGAAACTGAGGTCAGACTAATTAGCTTCAACACCAAAATAATTTTGCAATAACCCAAGTTATACTTCACTTATTTTTCAAGAAAAAAAGACTAATATCGGATGACTAATGACTAATAATTTGTTTTGAATCCTACATAGTTTGTGAGAATTCACTTATTATTCTTGCTGGAGCAGGATGTACTGTAAAGGTTTATACTAGACAGTAGTAATAATAATAATAATAATAATAATAATAATAATAATAATAATAATAAGTAGTAGTAGTAGTAGTAGTAGTAGTAGTAGTAGTAGTAGTAGTAGTAGTAGTAGTTTATTACGGTCATAGACCAGCAATACACATCACTTTTTACAATATATTAAGAAAAATAAATAAATAAAATAGTACTGACATTAATAGTAAATAATAATATCGCTGTTAAGAAAATACATGTTCTCAAAATGTTAGGGTCACTCCCTAGTTTACGTGAGTGCCGATTAGTGTGTGAGTAAATATAATCTTCCAAACATTATTAGAGATATCTCCAAAAAATTGGCACAAGTTGATGGCTATAAATCTGTAACCAATTTTTTTCTTGTGGACATTGCTGCAACACAGTATTTTGCCACTGCATGCGTGATAGAAGGGTTTGAGATCTGGAGGAGAAAGCCTACATAAAAATTGTCTGCCCTCCCTGGCAATCTCTCTAATAAGGGGAGAATATATGCTGTCCTATAAACTTGGTATAACTCACAGTACAATAAAACATGTGAGATGGCTTCGACTTCTCCTTTACCACATATACATACCCGTTCTGCTATTGGTGTTCTCTTATACCTGCCCTGGAGGAGTGCTGAGGGAAGAATGTTAAATCTGGCTCTGAAGAAAGCTATTCTTTGTTTTGGGAAGGTCAGATCATTCAGATATCTTGCTGATTCCCACACACCCTGTTTGATTCTATCCCTACTGTGGCAAGGCAACCTATTTAGTTCTCCTTGGAACTCCATATCCTTTATTCTATTGGATACTACTTGCTTTGCTTGGTCAAAGCCTAGGGACATTAAGAATACCGAAGAGAGCCCATAAAAGCCCAGTTTATGATCTATCGCCTGCTTTCAGGGGAAGGGAAGTTGTCAGTGCGCACTAACGGGGACAGTCCCTCTGGAAAGAAATGCATTTTAAGCCAGTGAATGATCATCATCTTCCAGGTTCTTACCTGGATTTGGGGCATGCCTGTCTCAATTCTTAATTGGGCATTTGGGGTTCCTTTGGGTGCAGCTAAGATGGCTCGCAGGAATTTGGTTTGTATGGTTTCAAGCAAGTTTTTCTTTGCAAGGATTCCTGTTTGTGCCCCATATAGAATTTGCGCCAATGTTTTGGCCTCGAAAGATTTTAAGGCAGCAGGTACTAATTGACCTTCACCTGTGTAAAAGTAATGTTTGATTGCATTTAAGGACCTATTGGCTGCTTGCAATGTATGATCCAGGTGTGCCTTCCATGTCCCTTGTGAGTGGAAAACCACCCCAAGGTATCTAAATGTTCTAACCTGTTCCAAACTGTGTCCTTCTATTTTCCAGGAGTATTGGCTGCGTCTTTTAGCAAAAACTAAAATTTTTGATTTATACTAGACAATTATAGACATTTATATACTATATCTATTTCAGTAAAAGTACTATACAACAGTAGGTAAAAAAGCAAGAGACCAACAAGTAGATAGATATTATAATTCCAAAACCTTTCACTTTTCCACGTTAAAGGGATCAGCAAATCTGGAATTTAGTCTTTAACAGAAAAAAATGCTCCAAAACATAAGATTGATTGGAACATGATTAAGTCCTAAAACCCACTTCAAAATTTATTTTTCTTTTGCGCTGCAGGCAAAGGAAAAATCTCACCAAATACTAATCCCTGATTGTCCAACACATCTAAAAATTGGATGATAGGAATCCTCCACAGTGTAAATTGTAGGAGGGCTACCACATAGGAGGTGTTTTAGATTTCCAGGGTGAGTCATGGATGACTGGAGACGTCTCTGTGA